TTGCCATTTTATATTCACAAAGTAATTTCTTAAGAAACTCTGTTTAAGACAGCCTTTAAAAGAAACAGAAATAAAACATAGACTTGAGTTTACCTGCCTGTCAGATATCCAATCGCAGAGGCAGCATAACAAGCCTACAAAGAAAAAATACTGGGACTTAAGCATACTGGGATCATTACAGTAAGTACATGTATAAATATTTACTATTAAATAAAAAACTAGAACAGAGTGGTAAAGGAGGAACTGGAATGCTTTCAGTTTTAATAAGTAATGTTCTACCTGTAAATTTCAAGTAATGGCTTAGGTATCTAATCTAGCTCTTAGTGTTTCAAGGAATTTGTCTATATCATCTAGTTTATTAATAATATCCTCTTAGATTATTATTAATAATATCTGCAAGATCAACAGAAATGTTCTCTCTCAATCCTAATATTGGCAATTTATGTTTTCTCTCTTTTATTCTTCATCAGTCTTGCTAGGGATTTATCAAATTTATTAATCTTTTAAAAGAACCAACTTTTGGCTTTGTTGATTCTACTGTTAGATTCTACTGTTGTTTTCTATTTCACTGATTTCTGCTCTTGTATTCATTATTTTACTCCTTTCATTTTAGGTTTAGTTCGGTTTTCTTTCTCTAGCTTCTTAAAATATAAGCTTAAAGCACAGATTTTTAAAAATCTTCTTTGGTAATAGATTTACTTAAAGCTATTTCTTCTAAGAACTGCTTTAGCTCTACTTTATAAGTTTGAAATCTCATCTTTTCTATATCATTCAATTCAAGATATTTCTTATTTTCTGCTGTGATTTCTTCCTCAACCCATTGGTTAGTTAGGGTTCATAGTGATGTGTCCTTTTTCATTCCTGCTATTAGTAATTTGTATTTTCTCTCTTTCATTTTTGACCACTCTGCCCTAAAGTTTTTTAGATTTTACCAATCCTTAAAAACGTTTACCAAGTATCAAATATGTTATTTTACTTTCAAGTTTGGGGATTTTCTAGTTATCTTTCTGTTACTGAATTTATTTCTACGCTGTCAGCTTACATATACTGTATGTTTTCAATCTTTGAAGATTTGTTGAGATTCCCTTTATGGCCTCCATATGGTTAGTTTTTACTTTTCTTTCTTATTTTATTTTTTTATGTTTATTTATTTTTGAGGGGGACGAGGGAGCCGGGGAGGGGCAGAGAGAGAGGAAGACAGAATATCTGAAGCTTGGACCCATGAACCCTGAGATCATGACATCAGCTGAAGTTGGATGCTTAACAAACTGAGCCACCCAGGCACCCTGGTTAGGTTTTACTTTTATTTTTTTTTTTTAATTTTTTTTTCAACGTTTATTTATTTTTGGGACAGAGAGAGACAGAGCATGAACGGGGGAGGGGCAGAGAGAGAGGAAGACACAGAATCGGAAACAGGCTCCAGGCTCTGAGCCATCAGCCCAGAGCCCGACGCGGGGCTCGAACTCCCGGACTGCGAGATCGTGACCTGGCTGAAGTCGGACGCTTAACCGACTGCGCCACCCAGGCACCCCTAGGTTTTACTTTTAAACTACCCTTCAACTGCACAGGAAAAAGGGGAGGTGCTAAATTAAATACAAGATAACCTGAAAAACTGCTAAATACTCTCTCAAATAAATCCTTTTTCTTAGTCTGAGACATCTTTTTCTAGTATTATTTCTTCTCATTTTTTTTTTAGAAATAGTAATAAAAATGATATTTTTCTAAACACTCAATTTTATGTGTAGTAGACTTAACTTAAATAAACGTTTAGGATATAAGGGTAAAAAAATTAAAAATAAATTTTTAAGAATCTTTAACTGCTACCACTACCATATGCCCAACTAAGAAAAGGCACACAGGCTCCATGCCGTTTCTTTGTTACTATTCTCCGCTGGCCCTTATCACTTTCCCTTTTGCACACAAGACCAAATTCACACAGGATAGTAATAAGACAACTCCAAAAATGCAAGTGCATAAAATATAATGTCTGGTGCAATCTGAACACTGAAGAACACTGTCCACTTATTAAAGCGGGGTAAGAAATATTGCTACAGAATGCAAAATACAAAACAACATATACCAAAAATTATATCCTTCTGGTAGCAAATGTCAAAAGCTGAAAGGAACTCTTTTTATGATCATAAAACATGTATTTCTCTACCAAATTACCTCCACTCACAAGCAGAATGCTGTGTGTAGTACTTAAGAGAGCAGACTCTAGAACTGAATTGTTTTGATTCGAATCTTGCTCCTCTCCTTTCCGCTGTGTAGTTTTGGCAAGTTCCTCTGTACCCTGGCTTAAGGAACTATAAAATGAACATTCTATAAAATGAACATTCTATAAAATGAACATGACTGACAGCACTGCTCTGAGGATGAAATCAGTTAACATATGTAAAACATTCAGAACACTGCTTGCACAGTTAGTCCTCAGTAACTGTCACATTCCCAACAGTGTGCCTCCCCCCTGGAAAGCCAGTCAGCGTTATGTCTTGATCACGCTAAGGATCTGATGAAAGACCACCAGGTCACAACCATCCACAACCAACTACACCTTTCTCTTTAGCACAAACGTGTAATTGGACGCCAAGTCCTCTTCGGCCTCTTGAATGGCTTCTGAATCTGTTCTCACACTCTCCTTTCATCACCCTGTCATCACCTTGAATTCAGGCACTAGTTAAGTCTTCCTGAGTACCGTACTGTGAAGAGTCAGGTTGACTGAGGGGACTACGTACTGGGAACGTCCTACAGGCATCTCAGTCATCAAATTTGCATTCATTACCTTTTCCCTCCAAATTGGTTCTTCCATCTGTATTCCCGATCTGAGTCAGCGGTGCTGGGATCCCCCTAGTCAGTTAAGCAAGCCCACATCTAAGAATCATCTCCAGAAGAGCCTGTCCTCTCGTTCCTAGTTGGTTAATGCCCACTCATACTTCAAGACAGCTCAGGGATCATCTCCAGGAAACCTTTTCTGAAGCTTAAGGCTGAGCTGAGTACCCTTTTCTGGACTTCCATAGCACCCAGAATATATCTCTATCATAGCACTTATCACATTATAATAAAATTGTCTGTTTATGTCTGTCTCCACAGCCAGGTTATAAGCTCCTCAAGTACAAGGAAAGTATGTCATTCATCTCCACATTCCATATGTCCAGTAAAGCACCTGGGACCTATGGAGGCCCTCCACTGAGATTACAGGGACTGAAACAAAACTTCAAGCTGCCCTGCTGATCCATACTCTGTACTACCATGATTTCTAGAGTACATATCTAATTATGTCTCCCACCTATTTCGAAAAACCTTTCAGGTCTCATTCAATGCCTACTAAAAAAGTCCACATTCCTTTTCCAGCCATAGACTTTCTACAACCTCCCCTTAGTCTACCTATTCAGTCTCACAGCTCATTGTGCCTTTAAGCTATTTTGATGGAACAGCATGAACAAACCTTGCCTTCACAGGTAATCTTCTCTGTCCCACTCAGAGAGAACCAGTCATCTTTTATGTGCACCATTCCTTTATACATATATATATATATATATATATTTTTTTTTTTTTTTTTTTTTTTTGAGAGAAAGGGACAGAGACAGATAGAGTGCAAGCAGGGAAGGGAAAAAGAGAGAGGGAGACACAAAATCTGAAGCAGACTCCAGGCTATGAGCTGTCAGCACAGAGCCCGACAGGGTCTCGAACCCATGAACCACAAGATCATGACCTGAGCTGAAGTCAGACACTTAACCGACTGAGCCACCCAGGCGCCCCTATATGCACCATTCCTTATACACACATTTTTTGTTTTATTTATTTATTTTTCAGAGAGAGAGAGAGAATGCACGTGAGCCAGAGAGGGGCAGCGAGAGGGAGAGAGAATCCCAAGCAGACTCTACCCTGTTAGCCCAGAGCTAGACATGGGGCTCGATCTCATGAATCATGAGATCATGACCTAAGTCAAAATCAGGAGTTGGATGCTTAGCTGACTGAGTCGCCCAGGTGCCCCTTATACATACATTTATAATTATACTATTATAATTACCTCACCTTCCCAAACTTAAAGATCACAACTAAACCTGGTTCCTGAAGGAAATATTGAAATATAACCCTCTAGATTTGGGCTTGCTTGACTGACTAGGTGAATCACAGTGCCACTGACTCAAATCATGAATACAGAGGGAAGAGCCAATCTGGAGGGGAAAGGTAGTGAATTCAAAATCAGACATGGGTTTCAGATACCTGTAAGACATTCCTGATATATATTTCCCTCAGTCATGTGACTCATTCCAATAGTCAGAAGAAGACTTACACACCAGTACCTGGTATGTACTCAATAAATATTTGGTGTTTGAAGAAGAAACAAAACATTCCACCTTCATAAAAAACAGTAAAATATAAGTTATTTTATTACATTTTACTTACTGACTTATTAATAGGTCAATAGCCTTATTTTCTCACATAGACGACAGAATAGAATATTGTTCCAACTAAGAAAAAAGAAATGATACAAACTCAAGACCTGATTTAAGATTTTAAAAAACCCATACTCCTCAAATCTTACACTTAAGGCCTGCCATTGAATTAATAAACAATGTGGTAAGCATTTACATCATGCAAAAGCCCCAAACAAGCCAGGCACTCCGGGGATATAACAAATGAACTACAACTCCTGCTCTCTAGGAGCCTACATGTGATGGCAGAGAAAGGGTACCACTTAGGGAGGTCAAGGCAGCTGTCTGGGCAACAGATGGTAAGAGCCTGAATTAGAGAGCAACAAACAGTGAGAGCAAAAAGCAGGAATACTTAGCTTTAGATGGACTGACAGGATATGACGCTGCAGAAGTAGTTTCTTGATCTTTGAAACCAGCACATAGTAAGCACTGAGACTGGGTTGACAAAATGTCTCATCTTCCTTTCTTTTGCTTCCAAATAAGCCTCGAAGAAGAGTGGTTGCATGATGCAGTGGAAGGAGGACTGGACTGGGATTTAGGACACCAGAGTTCTAATCATGGCTTTACCATTTGTGAACCTATTACCTTGCAGGGCCACCTACCATATAACATGAGAGCCTTGGCCTTCACCCATTCATCTCTAGGAAAGGCCTGAGCACCTATCATGTGCTAGGCACTGGGGATACAGATGTGTCAAGAAGAAATAATATCCCCACTCTCCTGGATCTCACAGCTTAATAGGGAAGTCAGACCAGACAAATAATACACAGAAAGAGATACATCATAACAGGTAGTTATGAGAGGACAGAGGGACTGAATTCAGACCAGGAAAAGTGTCCCTTTCAGTTCCAACGCTCTAGACTTGGCAGAGAACGACCCGGTGTAGTGTCAAGAGCATGGACTTCAGACCCCAGAATACTTGGGTTCAAATCCTGGCTTCTGACACTAGCAACGTGTCACCTCGGGCAAATTACTCAACCTCTCTGTGTCAACTAGGATTAACAAAAACAGTTCTTGCTTCACAGGATTGCTGCGCTTGGTCTGCCTGAAGAACGGTGGTAAGGGCTGAGTGTCTGCGATGAATATCTGCTGCTATTATCAATCATTCCCAATAACGCTTTCGGCCCCCCACTGTCCATACTCACCGCTTGCTCATTCCTCATCCCAACATATCTGATGCCCATCTTCTGGGCCGCAACGGCGATTTCGGTCACTGGGATGCCTACGATGCCAAACATGTACTCCACATCCTGGGGGCCAAGAACAGGGGAGTAAATGCCCGGGCCCGCGCCACACCGTTCCCTCCCGGGGCGCTAAAAGGAAAGCCTCAAGGAAAACCTCCCCACCTCCCACCGCACCGCACCGCTCTCCTTGTCTCCAAGACAACGTCTCCGCCCCCCGCCCCCCCCCCCCGCCGGCTTCCGTAGGAGAGTCCACCGTACTTGCGTTTTCAGGGCCTGGGCGATGACTTCAGCACCAGAAACCTGCTCCTCGTCTCCGTCGCTACCTGCGGCTCTGTTAGTCTCCAACATCTTCCACCTAAAACTTCGAGATACTCTCGCAATCAAGCTGACACGTAGACGCCCAGCAAAATAAAGTCGGGGGGACAGCCGCTCACCAATTGTGGAAACCGCTCCTCTGACTGACAAAGAGGAAGGCAACCAACCAATTTGAAAAGCGGGAAGGAAAAGGCGGGGCTTAAATCCGTCCGCTCGCAGCGTGAGTTAAGAATGTAAACACACTCCTCCAATCAGAGCCGTGCCCTTTTTCCAGCTCCTCCATTCGCGGGGCCAGAGTGCCAGAAGGAGGCGGGACTAGCAGGAGGCTGAGACCTATGCCCAGCAGGTGAGACGCGGAACCTCTGAGGCCTCTAGCTCCTCTGTGCCTACCCTCCGGAGGCATTTGGGGGTTCGCTAAGGCGAGTGGAGCACACGCAGAGGAGCGGAAGGAGGGCTAGGAGCACTACTGGAAGGGGGATTGGCGGGAGCTCTCGCCTCCGCCCCCCCCCCCCCCGGGCGCCCTAAGGGCCTAGACAGGTTTCGCAAAGGCTGCTGGGACCCGGGTGGGCTGGGTGGAGCCTAGCCTAGTGCAAAGTTGAGTTTCGGTCGTATTGTGCTTGTACGTCTGCTGTGTACTAGGCGTTTACTACACGCTTTATGGTTGACACACTCTTTTGTAACTAAAGAAGTTTCACAACTATGTAGTTCGTGAAACATAGTCAATAGTACACGTCAGTTAAATCCATAAACGGATTTGCTCTTTATCCCAATATACATGGGACACCGAATTTCCTAACCAAAAGACAACGTAATTTTGCCCAGAGCCATTGAATCCATCCCATTCTTCAGAATCCCCAGCTTGTACTCTATTCACTGTTTAGCCCTTAGGCTACAAGAGACAAGAAGGACCCCCTTGAACCTAGTTACATTTGACCATTGTTTTCTCTAACCCTTGCGACTAGCCCACTCTTCCTCTCCACTCTCCATTCTTGTCTTTCCAAAATCAGGAAATGGGGGTTTTCATAATTTTTAGATTTAGTGCCTGTCTACCACCAGTCCCTGTAGCTTGATAACCTTTTAAAACGCATTTTTGAGCGAAAAAGATGTTTGTAGTGCAATTTCTGAGGGTGTGGTTTCCGTCCAGGTCCTGAAACCACCGGTTCAGTAATAAAATCTCCATAACAAAGAGTGGAACTTTAAATTTTTGAGGATTTGGAGTGTTTCAAAGCAAAAAGGCAAGTAATATGTGGAAGGTAGAGGAGAAGGGAGTGGATCATGGGTAGAGGAATGAATGAAAAGCACTGGAAGTGAAAGGATTTCTAAATCCAGAGATTTTCCAACTGTAGTCATGGGCCCTTCCAAAAGGTCTTTTTGGCGGTTCAAGCCCTAACCTCCCACTCTAAAGACAAGAGAGTGAAATAGTTACCTCCCTGGATAGGGGACCTAGCCTAAGGTAGCCGATCAAAGTGGGAGATTTCTTTGATGTCTCAGAGTTCCTCTAAAATATAAATGCAGGTGTTGCATTTCCACTCCAAAATGTATCCATATTTTAATATAAATATTATCTTTTTATGAGGTAAAATAAACATGCAATTAAATGTACAGGTCATAAAGAAGTTTTGATAATTGGCTATACCTATGTAATTGCCACCCAAAATAAAAATGACATTTTAAGCTTACCAGTCAAGTGAAATTGATGTTCCAGAAAGATGCAAAATGTTCTTTGTGTGGCTTTGAATAGTCCTGTTCTTTGTCTCCCGTCTCTGAGAAGCATGGACCTCCTCTATCAGGTAGTATTGTTTATATCAACACCTATGTGAGAGTCTGTACTAACATTGTATCAGAATCACTTGGAAAGCTTTTTAAAAATGCAGTTGCTTAGGCCCTACACCACATCTTCTGAATCAGTGAGTTAGGACAAGTTAGGCACCTATATATTTTTTAAAGCTGCTACCTAATTTTGATTTGCAGCCTGACTTGGGAACCCCTAGCTCTGTATTCATGGTTGAGGCATTAGTTAACAATGAAATGTGTGACTGCCTGTTACCAAAGTAATACTGTTGATTCGTTTGGATTTACAGGTTCAAGGCTACTTGTTTGACATTGGCAGCACAGACCGTGTAGATCCTTAGTCCATTCATGGGACCTTGTGTCTACTTCTGTGTCAAAACAATCATGGACAAAATGACTCCACATAAAGTGTGGTGAAAACTGTGCCATGAATTGGAACAAGTCCCCTGAATTTAGATTAATGGGTTTTACAAAAAGGATAAATTCTCAACTGACTGGATTCTGGCCTTTAGCAAGGGGAAAAGTCAATGAGACTATTTAAACTTGCTTTCACCTTTGTATCTTTGGTTCAGGGTACAACGTTCCACTGTGTACTTGGTCGGATGATTCAGCAGAAGTGATCCTTGTCCCCAGGATTAGCAAGCCCTGAGAGCAACTCCTTTCCTCCAGTTGTGATTACAGGATTCTGCTGTGATTTATCCAGGCCCTTCCATGCAAACTTTGTAAGCATTAACCACATTCTTTATTACTTTGATTGGTGGTAGGCATGGAATTTTATTTGGTGCATGTTTTATTGGAATTTTTTTGTTTGGTTTTGTTTCTTTATCCATGGAATGAGGTCAAAGGAGGAATAAGTCTGAGTTGTTTTTTTTGTTGTTTTTTTTTTTAAGAAAAGGCTAACACAATGATAATATGCTCTCTAAAGCACAGAGCTGGGATGACTGGGTGCCTCAGTTGGTTAAGTGTCTGACTCTTGATCTCAGCTCAGGTCTTGATCTCATGGTCATGAGTTCAAGCCCCACATTGGGCTTCGTGCTGGGTGTGAAGGCTACTTAAAGAAATAAAATAATAAACAAACAAAGAGCAGAGGTGGTCATCAAAGTGTCTATGCCCAAGTTCATCTGGGTAAAGAGAATATCCAGGCAACCAGGTAACTTATTAAGAGTTGCAAATATAGTGCCTAGAGAAAATATATTCTCTAAAGGCAGTTTCTAAAAGTAATAGTAACTCCTCAGGCCCCCAAATTATGATAGTATGTTTTAATTTCAGTAAACAAAGACACTAAAAATCCTTGTGATTATTTAAAAAGCAAAACACCCGCTGAACCTATAAGAAATTGTCTCACAAACCTATGTTGTCAAGATGTGAAGTGTTTGGTTATCAAGTGAAGAAATGAATTAGGGTTATTTGTGATATATTATAGAATGGCTGAAAAGAAAAGAAAATTGGCTGAAATAAAAGAAAGCGGAAACTAAGTACCTTAAAAACAAAGAGCAAGCAACAATAACAAAAAGAAAAAAGGATATCTATGTAGAATACTCTTTTTAAAACCAACACTGAAAACCGTACAGCAAGAAATGTGCTATAAAAAAAATGTGTGAACATAATTAGAGCAGAAAATAAAATATAAAATAAAATGTTCTTTGAATAAAATAGGTTAAGTTGATCTTTGCTTCTCATTAAATTGATGGACTGCAAAGTACCAAAGCTCAGAAATAGGCTTGAAGCAAAACCAGTGAAAAGCAGTTTTATTATTGAGGTGTCTGGGACAGGTTTAATGCCTATTACTGGGAGACAGGTACTCGGGGACGGGTACTGGGTTTTTTTTCCAGTTGTCTGTGACCTAGAGAAAGGTTGGATTTCTGCCCTTGGCTAGGACACAGAAGCACCTTTTCTCTACATTTGAATGCCAGCTAGACCCAGACCTGGAGTGGGAAACGCAGTTGGGCAGAAACTGAAGAAACATTGTGTCCCTCTTATTGCTGTGTCTTCGTCCATTGTGTGTTTGGTTGTTTGTTTGTTTTTTTTTCCAATTTAAATTTGGGGTGGTTTGACTTCAGCAATCATTAAATCACTAATAAACATGTTACTTTATGTAAAGCGCACCAGAAAATGGTGACAACTGTGTGTCATGCTATGAGGATGTAAGAGATTTATCTCAAGTGGCTTAGAAACCGTAATCCAATATTTCTCAGTATGATAGAACCCCACACTTGGGGGTGGCCCATGGTGGGGGTGGGGTGGGGGACAGCTATCACTTATGAAAAGTGGTAGCAATAGTTCAATGCTTCTGTTTTCATTTGTTTCTTCTGTTTTGCCATTAGCCTTCATTACAGTCCCTTTCCTTAGCTTTTAAAAGTGTACCTTATTGTTTTGTTTTGCTTTTAATCTGTTCCTCATGTGAGCAAAACAAAGAATCCACTCTGGGGCAGAATCTCTGAATGATTCCCGGGGTTCTGAATGGAACGGCTGGGGTGTAATCCCAGGTGAGGGACATCTTCCTGATTAAGAGTTTAGGCCCTTGAACTTCCTTCTGTGTCATAACCTTTGAGTTCCCCTTCAGAGCTTACCTGTGACATATTGTTTTATTCACTTTAAAGTTTGTTTATATTTAACATTTATGGCATCTTTCAAACCCATGAATGGGAACAGAGATAGATTCATACACATGTACCCAGCCCCGAGGTCAAGAAATTCATTAAAAATACAGTGAAGCTCCCTGTGGATCCCTTCCCCAGTGCATTTTCCACCCGCTGTGCCATAGAGGTAACCACTATCTTGAATTTGGTGTTTATAATTCCCACATTAGGCATTCTCTTTTTTTTTTAAGTTTTTTAATGTTTTTATTTACTTTTGAGACAGAGAGAGACAGAGCATGAGCGGGGGAGGGGCAGAGAGAGAGAGAGGGAGGCACAGAATCTGAAGCAGGCTCCAGGCTCTGAGCACAGAGCTTGATGTGGGACTCAAACTCAGGAACCATGAGACCATGACCTGAGCCAAAGTTGAACATTTAAACGACTGAGCCACCCAGGCACCCCTCACATTATCCATTCTTTACTGGATGGACATTTAGGTTATCTTTAACTTTTCATTGTTATAAACAAATTTCTCTAAACATTTTTGCATGTCCCCTGGTGTGCCTGTGTGAGTTTTTATGTGTATGTGGCTAGGGGCGGGTCACATCAGTGTTACTAGATATTGCCAAATTGGTCTCCAAAGTTACTGTACCAATTGATATTCCCACATTCTGTTTATAAGAGCTCCCCTTTCTCCACATTCTCAATCATGAAATTTTAAATTTTTGCCAATCTACGTGAATGTGAAATGGCTTCTCATATGCATTTCCCTGACTACTAATGAAGATACAGGTATAGATATGCCATCTGGGTTTTCTTATTCTGTCAATTGCCTCTTTTATATCTTTTGCCCATTTCTTTATGGATTGTTTATCTTTTTCTTATTTATTTGTAGATATTCTTTATATATTCTGAATGCTTATGCTTTGTCTTTTAACTTTGTTTATAGTTACTTTTGAGGTGCAAAGTTGTGTGGTTTTGGGGTGTGGTCACATTTGACAATTCTTTTCCTTTCTGTTTTATACTCTTTGTATCTTGAGAAAATATTCCTTAACCTGGGATGAGATTTATTTTTCTATATTTTCATCAAAAAGTTTAGCCTACCTGGAATTGATTTCTACATGTGATGGAAGGTATCATTCCAAGGGGTTTTTTTCCACATAATATCTATATCAATTAGATTTGCTGTGTAATTAATCACTCTAAAACTCAGTGACTTAAAACAATGACCATTTATTTAATTTATAGTCTTGTGAGGCTGGACTCAGCTGGGCTCCTTCATGTGCCCGTGGTCAGTTGCTAGGTCACTCTGCCACTGGAAGCTGACTGGTTACCCACTGGGGTGGCAGGTATATTGCTACTGAACCAGTTATCTCTCATCATTCAACAGGTGTCCCTGGGCTTCTTCAGATGGTGGCAGCAGATTGCAAAAGGGGACAAACCCCATTGTGGAACCTTTGTATATCATGGTTGCTAACATCCTATCAGCTAAAGCAAGTTACACGGCCGAGTTCAGACTCTGACTAAGATGGCATTAAAAGTGACATGATAAAGAAACATGAATATGGAGAGAGGAATCATTGCTAGCCATTTTTGCTAGTCAGTTACCCAAAATATCCATTTTCCGTTTATGGTATAGTTCATTCTTATCCCAATGATCCATAGTGTCATCTCTGTTATATATCAAGTTTCCATATATGTATGTGGTCTGTCTCTGTACTCTGCTCTTTCTTAATTTTTTTGAAATAAGTCTTATGTTGGTAGGGAAGTCCTTCTCTTTTGTTCTTTTGAAAACACCTTGTCAGTTGCTATAATGTCCTATTGCTGCTATAACAGATTACCACAAATTTGGTGGCTTAAAAACAACATAAATGCATTATCTTATAGCTCTATAGTTCAGAAGTCTGAAATGGGTCTCCCTGGGATAATATCAAAATGCTGGCAGGACTGCGTTCCTTTGTGGAGGCCTTAAAAGAGACTCCTTCTAGCTTCTAGAGGCTTCCCACATTCTTGGCAATGTGAACAATATCAGGCCTAAACCTTCTCATGCTACCATCCCTCTGGTTCTCCCTCTTCTACTTTCACTCATAAAGGCACTGGTGATTGCATTGAGCCTACCTACATACTCCAGGATAATGTCTATTTTACAGTCAGCTCTTTAGCAACCTTTAAAAATACATATACACACATATATAATATATATATGTATATATATGTGTATGTATATATATATGTATATATGTATATATGTGTGTGTATATATATATATGTGTGTGTGTATATGTGTGTATATGTATATATGTGTGTATATGTGTGAAGCAGGCTTCACACTCAGCATGGAGCCTAATGTGGGCTCAATCCCATGATGCTGGGATCATGACCTGAGCCAAAATCAAGAGTTGGATGCTTAACCAACCGAGCCACCCAGGCAACTTTAGCATCTTTAGCAACTTTAATTCCCTTTTGCCATGTAACCCAACATACTCACAGGTTCTGGGGATTAGAATGTCTTTAAAGGGCCGTTATTCTGCCTACCAGATCTATTCATGGTCTTTTTCTATTATTATAGAATCAGTTTATCACATTCCAGTTTAATACTCATTAGAATTTCAATTGGAATTATATTGAATTTATAGATTAATTTGGATACAACAATGTCTTTATATTATTGAGTCTTTTTGCCATAAGCATATCTCTCCATTTATTTTATTCTTCTTTAATGTCTTTCAATAAAAATATTTCATTATACTTGCTATATTTATTCCTAAGCACCTAACTTTTTATTGATTTTTTTGCATTTTCTAGTTTTAGGGGGCCACTGTATTAGAATGCAATTAATTTTCGTATGTTGGTCTTAAATTAACTATTTTACTATACTTTCATATTAATTATAATAATTTGTTTATGGATTCTCTTGGATTTCTTTGTAGATAATCATAGAATCAATGAAAGTTTGTTTTTTCTTTTCTTGGTCTTTTATCTTTTCTATTTCTTTTTCTTAGCTTAATGCACTACCTAAGACCTCCAGTACAATATAGATAAGAAGCACTGATAAGTGGCATTTTTATTTCATTTAACCTGTTAATACAGTGAATTAAGTTGATATACTTTTTCATATTAAATGCTTTATCATTCTTGTGATAAAC